GAAAACTGATTGTAACAGAACCAAGGGTGTGTGTGTGTGTGTGTGTGTGTGTGTGTGTGTGTGTTCATAGACTATTTTATTCCCGACTTAATGACTTTCACACACTTGTGCACACACACAAAATCAGAACTATACTCAAAACAATTCCAGATATCTTAGATATCTTAAGCTTTTACAGGATGAATTTCAAATATAGAAACTAAACATATAAACTAAAATTGATTTTGCAACATTTTCCCCAAAATATAATTTAAATTTTCAGCAACTGCAAATAAGACACCTTTACATTAGCCAGGAAAATATTTTAATGGCTAAAAACGTGAGCAAATCTCTCTCCAATTTAATGTTCCTCTGCTGTGATTTAAAAACCAAACCAAAAGTCTTATATTTAAATCTCATTCATAAAGCACTGTTAAGAATTCCAAAGCTTAGCATGAACTGGCATTATTATCTCGCCTCACAAGTGTTGGGTCAACGGTGTCTTGCTATATGGAATCACTGTAAAATCCTGTGGGTTTAAGATGACTCTGAAGCCAAGTGCTTTTCCTCTGTCCACAGACTGTAATACTAGGAATACAGGCCTTTCACTCAGCAGCAGCTGTGAACAGCACTGGTTTCAGGGCAAAGACTCTGAGGGTTACTAGCTTTTCCCTAAGTCCTCACCACAAGTGTGATCCTACAACTCAGTGAGACAGTCGGTTTTGAAGACTCTTCTTACTACATCCATGAAACATAAAATACAATATTGAGTTTTGACCCTTATAGTTCCTAACACTCATTAATAAAATATTATTGGTACTACATGCAACTATTAATAAAATTTTTATTTACAAGAACATTTATTATCACATAGTTTAAAAAATTGACTCCTTTTCAGGCATTCTGATATAAAGTAGGAGTCTGAGAAAAGCAGCTAATATAGCCATATTAATCTCATCATGGCTGCTAATAATGGATTGATTCCCTCTTGCCTGATTCCAAATGTCTAGGTTATTCCAAAAATTGAGAAGCAACACTATCCCAAGAAAAAACTCAATTTTAACTGTCTTCTCTGCATTAGAATTTCAGTAAAACTAATTATAATTCATCAATTATATCAAATACAGTCCTCACATTAATTTAAAGAATTATCATAATTTTAATCAATTATTCTTGGAGAACTTGGTGTTGTAATAAATGGTTCCACATGTAAGGATTGGGGAATCTGATTGCCCAGAAGGACACTTAACCAGCCACAAATATTACCAACAAAAAATACACCTTTGTAACCCTGGTTATAGGGTATTTTATTTTTCCCACAGTAACCTCCAAAGCTAATTTTAATGAAATAGAATACACTAAAAAGGGATAGCAGGATATAATGTATATTTTTTACTACTTCTGTTGTCTTGGAACACTATTTTGGGCTGACTCATGGAAGATACGCCAATGTGAAATCTATTACACACAGCAGACTGACATGTTTGTTAATGAGGAAAGTTTACAAAGATAGGACTGTTCAGTGAGCACGTTAGTTCACTAAACGTCTGGTTACTGAACACTTCCAGCTCTGTTCACTCCTCTCTTTATTTATCTAAAGGTACCAGTTACTCGTAAAGACTGCTGAGATGCTGAAGATGGGAAGGCCAAATATCCACCAAATTCTGAATGAGCACCTACCACATACACAGCATTATGCTAAGTAAGGTGCTCACAAGAGGAACAATGACAAGAAAAAAAAATCTCATTTTTCATACATGTTCCCTAATGACTATCAAATTAACTCAGTTTGTGTAATTGCTGACATAAAAATGAATAACACAAAAGTCCTCACACTGACAGAAATAAATGCTGAAGAAGTCTTACCTTTTGCGTGTTGGCCCCCAAATCTGTGGTGGTGACTGTCCCACTCCTATCAAGAGGCTGAAGAAACAAAATATATTAGGATACATGGCAAACTTTAAAAAATATGACTTTCATCAACAATATATAAAAATATCTGGTTTAATAATCAACTTACAGAATTCAAGGGAGAAGAATCAGTATATAGAGTACTTAGTGCATCCTGTTAATATTGAAATGATAACAAAATTAAGATTTTTTACTAAACTCAAGTTTTGGAACACTGTTGCATTTAATTGTGATTTTAAACATTTACCAAAAGTGGGTTGGACAACTTCTCTAAACACTGTGATATTCGCCGAGCTCGTAAACTATTCACACCACAGGATTCCATATTGAGTTGCTTGGTTTTCATTTGTCTTCTGACTGGTGCCTAGAAAGTAAACCATGTATTATCTGTTGGAACTGCGAACTCCACAGCATGTATTTCAGACAATGAAAATACTTACAACACATAATGGAGGTTCAAAGGGAAANCTTTACCAGGTTTTGGTATCAGGTTAATGTAGGCCTCATAATGAATAAGGAAGTATTGCCTCTTATTCAATATTTTGGAAGAGTTTGAGGACAGGTGTTAGATCCTCTTTGAACCAGTGAAACCATCTGGTCCTGGACTTTTGCTTTTGGGGGGTTTTGGATGACTGATTTAATTTACATAGTGATCAGTTCTATTTAGATTTTCAAAGGGGGGAGGGAGGATAGTAAGATTCAGTGAAAACAAAGAAGATGTAAGAAATACTACCAGTCATCTCATCTGACTTCTCTAGAACGGTATAGCCAACAACTGCATAATAGACCTTCAAAATTCATCTAGCAAACCATACACAGGGCTATGAAACAACTCTTGATGCATTTTAAAACATTAAAATCATGATTAAAATCAGTTTTAATCCAGGAATTAAGCAGTCAAAAAGAAAATTTAAAAAAAACATGAAAGCACTACTATAATATTCTAACAGATAATAGGAGAATTTCCTTGCAATCTGGGAAGAGGAAACATTTCTTAAGACACAAAGAACAGTAAAAATAATGGGGAAAAATACATAAATTCAAACTTAGAGCATCTGGTGATAAAAAAGAACTGTTAAGACAACAAACAGAGAATCAACATATTTGATGAAGCAGGCATCAAAACAGCAATTTAGAAAATAAGGTAGCAGAAAACACCCAAGTAGAACAGAAAAATAAATTTAAAAAAGGGGGAGAGTTTAAAGGGCATCTGGGATAACATCAAGTCTACCAACATTCACACTGTAGGGGCACCAGAAAAAGAAGAGATAGAGCAAGGAACTGAAAACTTATTTGGAGAAATAATGACGAAAACTTCCCTAACCTGGTAAAGAAAGTACATACAAATCCAGGAAGTTTGTATGAGTTCCAAACAAGATGAATCCAATAAGGCCCACACCAAGACCCATCATAATTAAAATGCCAAAGGTTAAAGAGAAAGAGAGAATCCTAAAAGCAGAAAGAAAAAAGCAATTAGTCACCTCCAAGAGAATTTCCATAATTCTATCAGCTGATTTCTCATCAGAAACTTTGCAGGCCAGAAGGGACTGGCAGGAAAAGCAAGGACCTACAACCAAGATTACCCAGCAAAGCTATGATTTAGCATGGAAGGACAGCTAAAGAGCTTTCCAGACAAGTAAAGCTAAAGGAGTTTATCACCACCAAACCAGTATTATAAGAAATGTGAGAAGAAGCACTTCTGTAAAAGTAATAAGAAAACAAACAAGATAAAAAAATGGATAATAAAATGGGAATAGCTGCAATAGTTACTTCAAGTGTAAATGGATTAAATGCTCCAATCAAAAGATAGAGTGACTGAATGGATAAAAAAACAATACCCTTACATATGCTGATTACAAGAGACTCACTTCAGATCAAAAGGCACAAACAGGTTGCAAGTACAGGGATGGGAAAAGATATTTCATGAAAATGAAAACAGAAAAAGTGAAGAAACAGAAGCTGGAGTAGCAATACTTGTACCAGACAAAATAGACTTTAAACCTAAGGCTATAACAAGAGACAAACAAGAATCCAGTAATCCTACTTCAGGGTATTTATCTGAAGAAACCGAAACCCTACTTCAAGGGGATGTGTGTATTCATATATTCATTGCAGCATTATTTACAATAGCCAAGATGTGGAGGCAGCCTGGGTGTCTGTGGATGGATGCATGGATAAAGAGTAGGTGGTACATGTATACAGTAAGATATTGCTTGACCATGGATGGGAATGGGTTCTTGCCATGTGCAGCGATATGGATGGCCTGGATGGTATTGTGCTGGGTGGAGTATGTCAGAGAAGGACAGCTGTATTGTGATTTTGCTTATTGGTAGAATCTAAGAACAAAATAAACAAACAAAACAGAAACAACCTCACACATACAGAGTACATATTAATTAATGGCTGCCAGATGGGCAGGGGTGGGGAGGGTGAGTGAGAAAGGGGAGGAATCAAGAAATACAATTTGATTGTTACACAATAGTCATGGAAATGTAGAGTATAGTATAAGGAACATAGTCAATAATATTGTATTAATACTTATTATAAAAGGTAAAATAGTATCATTACCATGGAGAAATCCCATTGAAACCACCTTGCGATGAACTGAAAGCACGTGCCTCTTGATATGATACACTGAGAAGAGCTTAGCATCTATTCTGTGGTATTACTACCAAAAGTACACAACTGGAATCTAATCAGGAGGCACATCAGAGATCCCCCAAATTGCAAGACATGCTACACCATAACTTGTTATCTTCAGAGGTATCTATGTTGTGAAATACCCCAAAACACAAAACAAAATCAAAACAAACAAAAAACACACAGAAAGTATAAAAAACTGTTT